AACAGCTGCTCCCGATTGGTGGAGTTTCCTCTGGTCCACAGTTTAACATTGTAATCGGCTATTCCATAACCACAGAGGTCTTTGATGTGGCCATTTAGTCTACTGTGTATATATGTTAGTATTTTCAGTTTCCTTGATATATAAAGTTAGTTTACACTTCGCATCTGGGGATCACTATCTAGAGTCCTAGAAAAAAAAATTCAAATAATAAAATATGTAACATATAATTTGATAAAGTATAGTGAGTATCTTTAAGGCTGAATTCTGACTTAAGCGCAAACAGTCATTAGTTCCATGAACACGAGAAACTGCATGAATTATAAAATGTTACCCCTTTTTTACTAAACGTGGCAAAAAAAAAAACGAAACAAAAATATATAGAAAACTCAGTATCGCAGAAAAGATATAAGTTACTATAAGTTTTGCGCCCTCATTATCGTTTGCGCAAAAGAAATGGAAATGAATGTTTCGATTAAAGTTGATAACTGTGTGTTTCAACAACAAAAACTAGAAACTACGGCAATGTCCTTCCTATCAATACAAGATATCCGTGTGTCATCAACAACAAAAACAAAGGCTAGAAACTACGGCAATGTTCCTTCCTATCAATACAAGATATCCGTGTGTCGTCAACAACAAAAACAAAGGCTAGAAACTACGGAAATGTACCCATCAATACTGAAGTGTTTTCTCACCTGCATAATTCGCTGAATAAAGTACAGTAATCTTTACTGACCCCCTCACACGCATGTAGAACGTCTTCGGCCGTTATACGTACATCCATATATTTCCAGTCGTATCTGCAAATAACAGCAAATTAAATTCATAAAGTAACCACAAGAACTAACCATTATTAAAGTATACGACGTTGACAGTGAAAACGCTAATATATATATATATATATATATCAACCAGTTAATATCATTTCAATTCTAAGACTCCTGTTTCACAGCTACACAATAGCTATAGTGGGTATCGAATCCCTGAGTGTTAGTTTTATAAGCTTTCAGGGTTACCGTTAAGTTCCCCGGTAAGTTTACGGAATTACAACACAAAAACCCGGGGCTCGATTCCCCGCGATTAGCACAGCATATAGCCCAATGTGGCTTTTCTCTAAAACAAACAAATAAACAAGTAACCATTAAGTCACGGGGGACTCAATTCAAAGTTGTACGAGAGGCGATGTTTCAAAACATTGCAGAAAAAAAAAAGACTCCATGAGACCATGTTTTAAAAACATTTAGTTCTGGGTCATCCAGTTAATACAGTTGTGCACATTTCATACGTAAGATTTGAAATGAATTAAATAAACTAAGTTACAGTTTTAGAAATAACAGTGATGCTGACGCTTGCCTATTTTGCCCTTCCCTAGTTTCTTAGCGATTGTAAAGTTGAAATTAGATGTTCAATCCCTACAGTAGACATAACACAGATAGTCCTTATTATTTTATATTTGTTAAAAATTGATAGATTTTATTTAATTATAAGCTATTTTTTCAACTGACCTTGTGATTTTAAAGTAGGACAGATAAACCTAAAGTTTGTTTAATTTTTGTATAAAATGTTTGAAATAATTTTACCAAGAAATAAAACAGTACTACGCAGATTAATATCGTTCGATCTGTGAACGATATACGATATGAATCATATGATTGAGCATTTACTTCTATAAGAAATTACTTTTAATTGAAAACAACAACAAACAAAAATAAGATTGCATGAAGATTTCTTAGCTTAAATAAGTTTTTAAACAACATCTTTATAAAGATGTCATCATTTTTAACAGCAGCTTAGCGGCTCATATAATGATTCTGAGTGTTTGTTTTTCAGGAACAAACTTTTAGTTCATAGCTTCGTCATTTCCTTGATCGACTTGAGATCTAATTACAGTTTTGGATTAAGGAGGTCAAACCCTTTCGACTGATGTATTTGACCATGCCCAAGGTCTCATAGATCAATTTACTCTAATCCTACCTAAAAGAATTTCAATTTGAGAGTAGGCTGGTAGAGATCCTGATGAGTAATAAAATCGAATTGGGTATACGCACGCCCCACGCTTGGTGTAGCTGGCGCACAAAAATATAGCTAATAAAAAGAGAGAAAAAAGGTCTCATAGGTTAATTTACTCTAATCCTGCCTAAAAGAATTTTAAGTATTACGGCTGTTGAGGATTCTCTCTTGTAAATATATGACGTTATTAAACTTACGTCATGTTACTGGCCATCCACTTGAAGAAAGCTCGTACTTTCTGTAAATCGGTTTTGGCACCTTGGGTCAGGTAACTAACAAGATTTTGAACTGACGTTCTTGCAGATTTCGGGGCCTGAAATACGAAATACTTCGTTTATTAAATAAGCTAAGATTAGTTTGGCATAAACGAATTCTATGCTTAAACGTACAGACGTCTATAATATTCACTTATTTTTAAATGTTCTTTAAAAATCAAATATTATCATAATTCTTGCTAATTGTTGCAACATTAGCAGGAATTATGATGATATTTGATTTGTAACAATGTGATTAAGTTATCTACCATAATTCATGTTAATGCTTTAACTGATAATTAGTAACCATAAAAAAAATTATAGTCAAAATCACAAAATTAATTATAATGAAACTTGATAATGGAAATAGTGTACTTAGTGTACTTTAACTGATATGATAACATTTGTTAAATTGAAAATATACATTGAAAATAACAATGACAGAGAAATGAAATTACAAAATCCTTTGTCGAAATTTTAAAAATGATACACTTAGTTTAGCGTAGGACCATCAGGTTCTCAACCAGGTATTTTCTATTATGTTCCTAAAATACAAACATATTTTTTCAATAACTCCAACTTAATTAATACATCATTAGGGATAGTTTTGATTTTGCTAATGAAATACGGAATATAAAGTTTGATAAAAATATTTAGGGCCTATTGGGCTAGTTTTGGTATAAAGTGTCTATACACTATAAATATTTTGAAATTGTCATGCAAGATTGGATCTCCTATCTACTCTCTTGACAGAATGGTTAGTAACTATTAGTTTAACAAACAAAATTTCATAAAATCACCAATGTATGAAGTTACAAAACGTTCAGTATTACTTAATATCTTTCATAATATAACAGCACACAATTAAAACGTATTTTTATACATGAATGCCGTTTCTCGTATTTTTGATTTTTGATATAAAGTCAGACAATTTCCATTGAAAACATCAACTGTGGTTTATCCTTGTCCTTGTTGCAAAAAAAAAAATGTTATGTCGGCTCACCATGGCTGCGAACATATGCGAAAGAAAAAGTAAATATAAGGGCATCAAAAAAAGATAGAGTGTATTGGAAACCGCCTTGGATCAGTGTGACGTATTCGTCCATTCAAATTATCTTAAGATCTTAACTAAGGCCAATGGCCAGGTGGTTAA